AAGACTTGAAGTCCAGTTAATGACGTTTTGAGGTGCCATGTCACCTACTGGTTCTGGTCCACTGTGTTTTCTAAAGGGGGAAACACAGTTTTTCACTCCAAAAGGTGACACGTGTTCCTGGCTCCGCTCATCATTATACTCCTCCACTCCAAGCAGTTCTGTGATTGCAGTTGACATGTCCGCCAGTCTATTGCAGTGGTTCAGATGTTTGGTTTGTGAAGTTTCAAGGTCTGGCCTTCGTTCATGCAATGACGTAAATAATGGTCCAGTCTACGAATGTGGTTCGCAGTCAATCAAATCGCTTTCTTGTAACACCTGGTATTACAACAAAGTATTGTCAAGACAGGGATGAGAGACACCAAAACCAACAATGCAGATGACCTTGAGGCAGCCATCAGCCTGGGCTTAGATTGCCCCTCACCAGAACCACAGGCTGACCTCCTCCATGCCACGCTGCACTGATGCACCAATTCATGCAGCATGATTCCCAACCAAGTATGGTGTGCATAGAAAGGATGATACTTTTCTGAAGAACTGATGTAATATTCTAATTTTCAGAAACAATGAAGCCAGGCAGCATGACAATGATCTGAAGGAAACCACTAGACCACTTAATAATTTAACAAATATACCTAGTCTTTCAAAGTTTGTAGATATGATTTTTGCTTTTGGTTTTAGTTTTGTCAAACATAGCAATCATACACACCTGGACAGAGTGAGAGGCATTAGGATAAGATAATTAGGTCTATGGTGTATACCAGCAACACAGATGAATCACAGGGATGTGCAGGAAGAGGTGGATGTGTGTGTTGTGCACCCCTGCCTTCGCAAAGTAACTTGTTAGGATTTAGTCACCAGATACCTGTAGCTTCAGGCTAACTCCCAGCATCTGCTGCCTCAGAGTAGTTCAGCATGAGGAATCTGCAATGACGCTACTCAGCAGAAGGATTCTAAGGTGAAACAAGGTGACACAGTAAAGGTGTACAGGGAGACTGCACGAAGAAAACAAAACTGCAGAGGTTCTCTTGGTGTAAGCCTGTAATCCAGTTTTTGTGCCACTGCCGGAAAAGACATTGAGATATTGCCAACTATCTCAAATATTCATATGGTTTTGGGATTGGCTGTTACATGGTGTTCCCCTTAGAGGTCTATTACACTTTAGCCTATCTGAAAGAAAAATACACAGCTAACTACAGAGGGACCTCAGAGATCCTTGCAAACTGACAGAAAAAGTCAGGCTGAAAGACTGAAGCACACAGTCATTCCAGTGAAGATACAAAACTACAAGAAAAAGTTCATTTCTAATGAAAATGTTATATCATGGCAATATTTAAAACCCCTTAAACTACTGACACATTTACATTAGATGGTTATTTCCATCCAAGAGTCTTGCTATGTAGAAGGCAGTGGGTGAAGGGTGACATCATTCCACTTCACACACCAGAAACACTCTGTTGTTACTAACAGCGCTGGGCACAGTTCCGCTAATCTGCTAATGCACAAATAGCAAAGCTAATTTTTGGGTTAGCATGTTTGGTAACTTTGAAAACAATTAACGCACTTAGCTTAACCTAAATAATTTTTCCAGATAAATTCTATAAAAATTCATTTACTTGGGTACACACAGTACAGAATACACACACTGTGCGGACAGTTGAGATTTTATAGTCAAGCATAGTGATTACTTGTCATGACAAATACTGTCAATTCTAGTATAATCCAAATGAATACTAGAAAGTTTTCATTGGGTTGGTGCTTGCTTCAGAGCTGTAGTCTCATGAGCAGATATAATCTGAATTAAAGTTAATTCTTTAGCATTAGCTTCTGCTAAATATTGTTTATGTCGTGTTTTAGTGCCAGAAGAACAAATATTTATGGTTAGCACAATTAACTTTTTAACTAGCAGTGCCAGACACTGTTTGCTAAAAAAGAAAACATTTAAACTTCATTTTGTTGTATTGATGTGTACACTGTCATAGTTTACCCAACGACACTTTGTCCAGATTTACATAACACTCCTCATTTTGCAGTGGGTATTTCAAATGTGATTGTCATTGTTTCAGACTGTCACCTACCACCACCCCTCAACCGTGGAAATAATAAATTCTCTGTTAATATAGATCTAATGCTAATATTAGGCCATATTAAAGACTTAGAACGTTGTGTTTGCTCAAACATCTGTAAGATTCTGAGCATTTTTTTTTTTCAAATTTAAATTGACCAAACTGTAAGTAACCAGGGAGGTTGAGTCACGAAGGGTATCCAGTAGCGAAAACATTGTGCATTCAGCTGTGTAGTGGGGAGGCTGCAGTAGTGGTCGGTGCTAAAAGGACAACAAGGTTTTGATTTGATTGAGTCCATGGCAGAGAGGAAGGATTGAAAGAAAAATGAAAGGCAAGATAGAAGAAAAGAAGGAAGGATCAAAGAAAAGGATGAAGAAACCATAGGAAAGAATAAAGTATTTGTGGATTTTTCTTTGGAATGCAACTTTGAATTATTCGTGGAAAACTTGCCCATTTTCTTTTGAAATATTCAAAAGAATATTTCAAATATTTTGAAATATTCAAAAGAAAATGCAGTATATCTGAAACATTTGCAAGCAACCAATCCAGGAGCAGCATTTGTTTTGCTTCATTGACTTTCATTGATTGGCTGAACCCCCCAGAGTGAAGATCAGGAGCACAGCAGACGCTAGCTCCTGTGGTAGTGGAGAAACGGTTTCCACTGTTCGTATGAATGCACACTAAGGTATATTTGGTGTTTGGATAATTAAGACAGGTAACTAAGAGCGTTTTTAGCGGAGTATTAAATATTAGCCCAATATTAGCAGGCCAGATGTGGTCTACAGCCCAAGTGAACAGTACTGGTTGATCTTAATGTGACAGACTCACATCGTTGTGAAAAAGCCTTTGACCACTTGCAGATTGTGTCTGTTAAATTTTTTGTATCTTTTTCAACAATAGTAGTTCTATCTGTGAATTGTGGGGAAAAAAAGACTAAATGAAGGTTTTAGAGTAACCTCATCCAACTCTAGAACCAAACCCGCTATAGATGCTATGGTGAGACCCAAAGAGCATGCCAGGACTGCAGTCATTATAGACGGCACTTGCTGTTAGTTGGGGTGCAACAATGTCTAAAACTCACAAGAAGAAACAAGATTTTAATATTACTTTCAAGAAAACTTCAAATACAAAATTATGCTACAAAAAGGTCTTTATTCTGCATTTTTATAGATTTTGCCACCAATCGATCTTTCGTTTTCTGATCAGTTTTCATCTCTTCAGACAGTTCTCTCACTATGCATGGTCTGCTGTACGGCATTTCCCAGTTGCTTTTGACAGAGTGGGCTGTGATTGTCGTGTAGCTTAACGAACCCTTACACATCCATCTAGCGGTTGTTATGACAACACTTTCCTCCTCTTTTTGCATCTAAACAACTTGGAGTACTTAAACGTTTTTCATGCCTTTTCTGTCGCATTTATAATTCCAACTGGAAACATAAAATTCTGCCAAACAAATGATTCAAGTGCAGTTGGGACATCTTCTGTTCCAGCTTCTTCAGGCAAAGCCGCAGTCACCGCACAAGATTTATCTCAACGAGAAATATTATGATATTGTGATCTTGTATCCACCCCAGGTTGTTAAGTTATTGTAATTTACGGTTCAAGTAAAGCTCAGGTTGGTTTGGGGAAAATATTCCCTAAAATGTGAAAACCTTATTGTTATGTATTCTTCACTTTTTTTTTGTTTTTTACTGATATTAAAACAAAACATTTAAGCAAGAACCAAAGCAAATCTGTAAGGGGGCATATGCTTGTTCACAGCTCTGTAATTATGTCCTCTCTATCTCTTCCCTCCCCTCCGGCCCCCCACTGTGTATCTTATCCTTCATCCTCCTCTCTCCCCCTCCTCATACCAAAGCATCGCTCCCTCTCGTCACACACACATTTCTTTCTCTGTTCTTTTCTCCTTGACATTCCCTTTTAGCGCCTCTCATCACCTTATCACACCTCTCACACCCTCCTTCCTTCTCCTCCTGTGCCTGTAGGTCACGGAGAGCTGATCCAGCCTCCTGTTCCTGAATCTTACTTAAACTTGAGCTGTGTCAGCCCGCCTGCAGCAGAGCTGTAGCAAAGCCCCTGGGATCCCGTGACCTTAGAAACGCAAGTTAGACAAGTAAGCATGGTACAGCTAAAGAAGAACGGAGTCGATGAGAAAGGATAATAAGGGGAAGCAGACGGGAAAAGCAACAAAGACAGCAGATCCAATTAGCCCAATAAATGATAATTGCCATACATGAAGACTTCCTTGATTTTCCATTTAATATATATTTTTTAATATATCTTGTGATATGACAAACATGACAATGTCTCTTGTCAAAGTGAAGTTTGTCTCAGAAACTGTATACTCAGGGTTTCCACCAGTGTATTATTAGCATGGCGGGCCAAAAGCCCACCAGACTAAGCACTGTTTGTTTATTTTAAACAGGGTTTTTTATACACCAGTAACAGTAAAAATGGCTTAGTCTAAGTTTATAGTTGACGCACTGAACACGGCGCAAGGGGATTCGCACCAATTGCGCCGTTCCAGCAGCTGTCCGTTGCCATCATACGCTAGTATTTCCAAATTGTGATGCCTGATTGTGCAGCTCTGAAATTTTGTAGCTTTTAACATTGTTCTAACACAAAAACGTGGGGGGTGCTGGTGGACTCCCCTAGTGGCCCTACCACCAGGCTTAGTAAGTTTCCTGGGCGAAACTCTGCTAGTTGCATCACAAATTTATTTTCGAAATGTCAAATGTCAGTTATATCGTCAATGGAAATGCAGCTACTGATAAAGTTCTGCTACTAGCATGAAAGCTTTGGCATCCATGACAATTTTATAGTTTTTATAATATCACAATCTGCCAGCTTTATGTCTCTGTTCTTTATGTCTCTTCGTAGATCCCTCTATAAGGCCACACCAAACCCAGCCTCAGGAAGCCTGAGGTTTCCACTCACCCATGGCAAAGAATGGGATTCCCAGCAGTGTGGAGTTGAACTTCCCATCCGATATGAAGAAGATCCCTGCAGCTGTCACGTTGGCGATGCAAATGGTCAGCACGCCCAGGAGGCCGAGGAAAGGCTTCCCCCTCAGGCAGTCCCGCATGGAGCTGGAGATGGTGGCAGCCAGGAGCACCAGAACCAGACTGACCAGAACCTCCCCTTTGGACAGCATGCCGGTCTGGTGGAAGTCCCGCCAAAGGCTGAAGGAAGTGAGCGACTGGATGTGGAGCTGGTCGGTCGGGTGCGGCGTCTCGGTCGTGGACAGTCTGGTGACCAGAGCGCAGAACTCGTTCTCCCAGCGCTCTGCGATGACATCTTGCACCACAGGGCCGATGCTACGGAGGTAGTATGTGATCTGGACGGCCCGGGCAAACTTGACCTGCTGGTCCCGACTGTTGGGTGAGAAGGACACCCCTCCAAGCTGGTGGCCAATGAAGGACACACGTCCATCCTGCAGAGAGTTCAGACATTTCAAATTAGTTGAAATCACAACTTTGGATGTGATACTTGGACATCAGGGTTTCTCTCAGTGAATCATAAGCTTGGTGGCCCACCAGGCTGAGCATCGTTTATTTATTTAAATACAATTTTTATACACCAGTAATAGTGACGGTAAAGACAGATTAAGCTGGTAGTTAGATAGTGGATGCGTTGAACTGGGCATGAGGAGATGTAAACCACTCACCTGTTGGACTCAAGTTATAATTTCCAAATTATGATGCCTGCTCTTCCACCAGGATTTTTATAACTTTTAACATTTTTAACACAAGAACACAGTGAGCTGCTGCTGGATTGCCAAAGCACCTTACCACCAGGCAGGCATTATCATTTGGAAACAATAGTGTGTGAGGCCAACGTGCAGGGATGGCGCTGTTGGTGCGAACCCTGCACTCCTAGTTCAATGCGTCCTAAACCTAGCTTAATCCTTCTTTACTGTCACTATTACTGCCTTGTAAAAAACCTTATGTAAATAAACAAATAATACTCAACCTGTGGGGAGATGGGCAAGTAAAACTTGGTGGCCCGCCAGGCTTATGGTGCACTGGGTTAAACTTTGTGCCTGCAATACCATGGAATGTTGAACTGAAATGCTTCTAAGTGTTATTCACATATTGCTGTTGTCCACTTCACATTTATAATCCCATTAGGAGAATATTACAATTGATGGAACCTCCGATATTTTAGCGATATTTTTAAATCTCAACTGCCATGGCAACAGTGGGTTTGGGATCACCCAGATTAGTCAGGGTGGGACAAGCTGGACTGGTTTTGTTAGACTGGTGGATTATTAATTTTCCAACAATACTAACTCATTTCAAGTAAATCTCAGCAATAAAATAACAATTTTGTGTGAATATTTGAACATTTCATTAAACTGACATGTTCAGGCTCTGATACGGTGAATAATAGGACAGAATAATAAGCTACAAATGTTTCTTTAGTTCTGCCTTCTCCCCTCTGTTCTTGTTCGTGGAAATGGACATAAAGAGGAGAATGGGGAAGATTTTTGTCTGTCACTTCAACTGATTTAAAATACTACCAGTCAAAGTATTCCTTGATATGTATTTTTACTGTCATAAGCTTGGAAGCCTGGGGTTCAAGAGGCAGGGCACAAACTTTTACCAAAGGACAAATTTATTTTTGGATGGTTTAAGGAAGCCGGAGTACCCGAGGAGAAAACATGCAAACTCCATGAGGAAAAATCCCAACCAAGGTCATTCAGCATAATTATCAGGGATACCTTCCAACTGTGAATAAAAACGATTTCCTCTTAAAGTTAACCTTGTAATGTAGTAAAACGTAAATAATGTGCAAGGTGGTTTTTTTTTATTTTTTAAGTCCAGTTCAGTTCAGCTTGACCAACAAAGTTAGTGACCAATCAAGGCCCATTAGTTGAAATTGATTTAAATAAATTATTATCCAAATAAAACTTAAATAAATCCTATTAAATCACAATATTATCTAAGCCTATTTTACATGCTTACTGTGTTATCAACTAAATAATGTTATTTTTGGTTTGTTCAAGACACTTTATTCTAAATATTAAAATCTAGTTAAAATTGAATCAGTTTCTACTTCACCTGTAAATAATTCAAATCATTCCCAGTAATTTCACTTCATTCCAAATAACATAGCCCATAATACCAGCTTCACTATGCATTGCTTAGCCACTTCCATAGGATTTTTCTGTTAGCATGGCTTTGTTGCTCTGCTCTAATGTAATTTTAATTTACCTGCCAGCTTCTAAAGATCAAACAAAATGAAAGTACAGCAGACAGCAAAACAACGGTACATATTTGAAGCGCTTTCTCCCAGGAGCAGAGCTAAAGTTGAGCTCAGCAAAAAGAAGCCCCCTTCCTTTTTTTTTTCTTTTTTTTTTTTTAATACAAAGCGTCTCCATTACAAGTGCAGAAATAAATCCCAGTCGTGACATCAAAGAGCGGGATGAGGCGTAAGAAGTCAGGCAAACGAATTAGCCCAGACAGCCTGTCA